TCTCCAGCAGCTCCACAAGGATTGTGACCCTGCCCCAACACCAACAACCACGGGAACAGGCAATTCCAGGACTGAAACCTTGTCTGAGATCATCCACTGGATAATCAAACACAGCAAAGGAACAAACAGGGGAACAAGGATGAGCAGGAAAATTCTGGAGCCTCCCAGACAGGGGAGAAAAGATGAATTAACACCAAAACAGCCCAACCTGACCCAGGTTATCTATTGATGGCTTGAAAGTCTCTGTCACTAACATCTCTAGGATTCAATTACTGGAAATCAGGAATTTAATTGTTTAAATCAGAAAATTTCAAACTCATATGAAAATTCTATGAAAAATACTATGAAATTCTGTGAAAATTCTATGAAAAAGTCTATACAAATTCTACGAAATTCTACGAAACTGCTACAAAAAATTCTATAACAAAGCTTAAAAAAATTCCATGAAATTCTATGGAAAAGCCTACAAAAAATTCTACGAAAGCTTCTGTGAAAAATTCTATGAAAAGATCTACAAAAAATTCTATGAAAATTTCTGTGAAAAATTCTATGAAAATGCTATGAAAGTTCTATAAAATTCTATAAAAGTTCTATGAAAATTCTATTAAAAATCTATGAACTATGTGAAAAACGAATGTTTTTGAAAACTATGATGCAATTGGCCTTATTTTTCTGTCTTGGAAGAGGGGCTGAATCTTCAGCTCTTGCAGATAGTAACAATCACATCGACAGCAGGAGACCCAGGCACCTGAATTCATCTAAAATTATTTATAACTAATAATAACTAAGACTAAAACTACTAATAACTAATGGTAACTACTAAGAACTAATAAGGGCTAAGCAGAACTAGCATTAAACATCTATTCTATGCTACTCTGGAACAATCTGCTGTCTTGGTTTGTGTAGCACTAAAACAAGACAGAGATGCAGTTTTTTGGGAACAGCTCCAAGCCCTGAGTCCTGTATTTGCTGCTGTACCAACCTCCCCCTGGGAGCTACAGGAAATAGTCGGTGGGGCTGTAGTAAACCTTCCTAAAGACTTCCAGGCGGGAGTAGTTCCTGAGGATCCAGGTCTGCAGGGGGCTCCCGTTGCAGGCCTCCACCGTGGGGCCGTGGGAGCCGTCCTCGATCCTGCTCAGGGTCAGGCACGACTGGGTGATCACGTGCAGGAAGGTGTGGGTCTGCAGGGCACACACACGGGCACGAGTCAGCAAAACCCAAGGACCAGCAGGGGCAAAGGCAGGGAGGGGGTCGGTGCCACCCCCAGCGGGCAGCGGGAACAGCAAAGGAACAAACAGGGGAACAAACAAACGACTGATGGATAACGGGGCTGGGAATGCTGCAGGCACACACAGGGGTATCCACAGGGATATGCACGAACCAGGCTTCAGCTTCACACAAAACTCCTCCACTTCACATCCCGTGATCTGAAGCCAAGGCTGCCTCTGGATCTGCCCCCCCGTTGTTGCCTCACCCCAATCCCCAATTCCCACTGCTCAGCAGGATCTGGGGAGAGATGAACTTCCTCCTGCACTAATACCCTGCACCAACCACCATTCCCTGTGTCCTGTCCTTCCATCCCTTGTCCCTCTCCAGCTCTCCTGGAGCCCCTTTAGGCCCTGCAAGGGGCTCTCAGGTCTCCCTGGAGCCTTCTCTCCTCCAGGGGAACCCCCCCAGCTCTCCCAGCCTGGCTCCAGAGCAGGGGGGCTCCAGCCCTTGGAGCATCTCTGTGGCCTCCTCTGGAGGCCATTTGAGCCCATTTGAGAGTAATCAAATTAAAAATACAACAAATTAAACATTCACATATGAGAGAAGGATTTTTACCCCAACTACAATTCCAGCTTTTCCTTCCTGGTGCCAACACCACCGGGTGGGTTGGGATGGAGGGGAGCTTCTACTCCCCTAAATTCTGCCCATCACTGCAGGTTCCCCAGGGCTGGTGCTGCCAGGGCAGCTGGAGATGCTCCTCCTGCCCATTCCCTCTCCATGGTTTTGGCTTGATAAGGGAAAAAGTGGTGTGAGTATAAAGAGGCCACTAAAAATATCAAGGACAAGTGTCCTTATAATGCCACTTCGAGTGAACATCACTGTTGGGTTTGTTCCGTTATGTATCACTGCTCCCTGTGCCTTCTGTCTGGGATTCTTTTCAGGGAAAACAGAGGCACATAAATAAATTACTTGGGAATCTCTGTGTTGCATGTTTGTATTATATTAAATCCCTAAAGTCAGTGGATTGTTCAGGGGTAAAAACAAGGCCAAGCATCATCTTGGTAATCTGAGTAGACTTTTCTCTGCTACCTGGAAAGCTTTGGGTTGGAAGGACCTTAAATCCCATCCAGTGCCACCCCCTGCCATGGCAGGGACACCTTCCACCAGCCCAGGTTGCTCCAAGCCCC